GGGTGGGGGTGCGGGAGGAGGGGGGGAAGGGCTTGCGGACCGCGCGAGACTGGCCACGCTGCATGCAGTAAATGGCACAGGTGTGCCAGAGTCTAGTCCCTTCGCAAGCATGGCGACCGAGCCCCGCGCAGCCGCCTCGTGGCCAATACCCCTGAGTGCCAGTCAAAACCCAATCGGGCCCCGAAGAACGCCCAGCGCCTCACCATGCAGTAGATGGGTTCAGTCATCTCCAGAAGCCGCCGCGCGTCATCGTCGGTGTCGTTGACATCCTTTTGCAGTAAAGAGAGGGGGGGGTGCGGTACAGGCCAGGGGGTTGTGTGGAGAGGATGATGAAGACCACGCCGCCACGGCTCATGGCATCGGGGCAGTTTCAGGGTCGAGGCCGTTGCACAACGAGAAGGGCAGGGGGCGCCCGCGGCCGGAAAGAAAACCGCCTAGAGGTGCCGAAAGGTGATGGCCCCACGCCCTCGCGCCCCAATCCAAAAGCCTCGCGCCGGACGCGCCGCAAAGCCCGCGCTGGACGCGCGGCGTCAGCCCCCCCCCCTGACGCGGCCTGCGGCCCATCGGCTCACCGCGAGCATCACGTACTCGATGCACACAAAGTGGTCGCTCTTCCCCGGCGTCGTCGCCAGCGAGCGCGGGAACATCTCCGCGAGGGCCCCCATCAGCTCGGCCAGGTCGTGCTTGCGGTTGACCGGCGCGATCCAGGAGCGCACCTCGTCGGTGGTCGCGTGGAGGGAGACGGCCACCTTGGCCTTGCCGCTCGCGTGGAGCTCCCGCAGCTGGGGTACCAGGCCGACCTTTTGGGGGGAGGGGTCAAGGGCGGGGGTTGTGGGGGCATAGGTTTCGAGGGCGGGGTTTTTGAGGAACGGGGAATTTGAAGGCGAGGGTTTCGAGGGCGGGGTGTCAAGGGAAGGGGTTTCAAGGGCAGGGGCATTCAGGGCTGGGGATTTCAGGTCGGCGGCGCGCGGGGGCGGGAGGCACGATGCATGTGCCACCTGTGCGCGCTGATGTGGCATGGCCCATGCATGTGCACAGGATGATGTGAACGATGAAGGGGGGCCGAGCGCGCCACGGGGGCCGCGGGGCGCAGGGAGGAGGGGAAGTGGAGGGCGGCGGGCGTGGAGCTCGCGCATGCTCTCATGGGCAGGCCGCGTGGGGTCGAGGGCATAGGGGCGCGTGGGGGAGGGAACGCACCGTCGACACGATAACCTTGCTCTTGGATAGCGCCAGGCCGGCCGGCGAGCAGAGGATGTCCAGCGCGGGCATCACCGCCTGTGCAGGGTGAGACAAGTGGATGGGGCTGGTAGGGAGGTGGGTGATACGCCGTCCAGCGAGCCTCGTCCCGACACGTAAGCACGCTTGAAGGCAGGAGGCAACACCTCGCTCAAATTGTCACACTGCTGTTTGTGGCGTCCAGGCGGGACATTACATTGGCTGTGTGAAGCAGCTTGTTGCCACTCACGGGCAGGTTTGCCAGGGGCTCCCCCATTCCCATGAAGACGATGTTGCTGATTCGCGCCGGGGCCGCCGCCCACGACCCCCTGACGCCCTTCCGCCGCCTGCCGCCACCGTCGGCGTCGTCAGGAACGCCGTCGCCACCGCTCGCGCTGGCGAGGCCGCCGCTGCCCACGCGCTCCCCCAGCCGCCGCCGCTCGTCCTCGCGCCCCTCCTCCTCAAGCTGCTGCTGCTGTTGCTGCTGCCGCTGCTGCTGCTTCTGTTGCTGCTGCTGCTGAGCCAGCCAGCGGCGCGCCTCGACGACCTGCTCCACGACCTGCGCCGCGCTGAGGTTTCCAAGAAGACCCATCCTCCCCGTGAAACAGAACTTTTTTTTGGGGGGGAGGAGGGGCAGCACGCATGTATGTAGTGTGGAAAGGAGGGCGCGCGGGCGTGTGACGCCAGGCGGCGTGTAGCTTGCAACACTGGACGTGCGCGCACGCGATGACGTGTTTGTGAGGGGCGCGTGCACATATGATGTGTGTGTGTGTGTGTGTGTGTGTGTGCGTGTGTGTGTGTGTGTGCGTGTGTGCGCACGCGCGCATGTGTGTATTCGTCTATGCGCGGGTCCTTCTCTTGGGGTGCACTCCTTCTCATGAGCCCGGACACGGACCCGCTATTGCGTCTTGTCTGCACGTGAGTCAAACCTTAAGCGGGAAGCGTGCGAGCATGCGGATTTGCGGGGTGATGGCGATGCCAGCAGGGCTCAACCACTGTGCGCCTGGGGGGAGCGCAGCGCACCTGGCAATTCATGGCGCAGCCAACCTGCCAGGGATGGAGGATGCGGTGTGGTGCGCAGCAGCGCCGGCACGGCGCCGCGTCAGCCGGGGGCCACAGAATGATCGCTGCATCTAGCAAGCAGGTGCTGCAAATCGGCGTCTGCTCGCGCCAGTGCGAACTGCGTCTTGTGCGGAGCCAAGCGCGCGGGATTTGGCCTGCATGTGGTCCCCCAAATGCGGCGCCTGCCCCGCGTTGGCTGCATGCCACCTCTGCCAAGGCACCCAGCATATGGCTCCCCGTTCCCCTTTGCCCAGTGCCCCGAAAGAGCCCCCACCTGTGTTGAGAGGCAGGCCGTATACCGCGGCTGGGTGCCGTCCCGATTAGTCATGGGGATGAGCACCGTCTCTACGTTGCCCGACGCAGCGCCATCGCCGCCGTGCAGCGTGAACACCTGCAGATTTCACAGGCCGAGTGGGTGGGCAGCGCTCGGCTTCTGGACGGGTGCGGCGGCGCGCGCGAGCGCCACGCGGGCCCGGCCGGTTGCAGCAGACGAGCGCGCGCTCGCGCACCAGCTTGTGGGTCCCGTCGGGCGCTGTCTGCACGCTCTGCAGCGTCAGCCCGCCGTGCAGGGTCGCGGCCGCCGCGGCCTTGGCTTGGAATGCCTTGCTTAGGGCGTCGGGCCCGCCCGCGCCGTCCGCCCAGCTGCGGGCCCAGTGCTTCTCGACATACATCAGCCGCCACAGCTGCTGTGCCCGCTTTGGGGCCTCGCCTGCGCACGGCGGGGGTTGCGGTATTCGCGGCAGACGGCTGATTGTTAAAGCTGCCACGGCGCGTGGGAGCTGCAGAGGCGGCGCGGCTGCCGGCCCACGGCCCCACGCACGCGTTTGTGCTGCCCAGCTGCGCAACCTTGCAGGCTGCACTCAGGAGCCGTGCGGCCGGCTGCCGTTGGCCCGTTGAGGCCACCGCCACACGGCAGTGCACATGTGCTGCCCGTGTAGAAGGACTATGCCATCGCCACGCCACGCACCTATGCTTTCACACCACTCAGTGAGCTCGTCATAAGTAAGGTTTTTCAAGCGCAGCAGCCCGGACTCATCATACAACCCCGGCCGCCCCGCGAACGTCAGCGGCGGCGCCGGCACAGTCGGCATGATCGCGGCCTGCTGCGTGGCGGCCGCAGCGGGGCCGGCAGCTGCGAAGGCGGCCGCCGGCACAAGCGCCGGCGCGCCGCGGCGCGCGGCCGACGATGCCGCGCCGGCGGTCGAGGCGTGCCTGGCGAGCCGCTGGTGGGCCTGAGCGTGTGGCAATTGTTGCAGCGCTTCAAGTATGCTGTTGCCTGAGAACACACATGGGCGTCTGCAGCAGGAATGCAAGGTCCACCTGGACCTGTACTCGTGTGCACAGCAGTGCACAACCTGCAAGTGCCGCCGCCAAGTGTGCTGGTAATGATGGCCTCACCATGCATCGCCGGCCGGTCATCAGCCATGGTAACGTATTCTTATAAAGCGCCAGCGTCATCCTGCGGCCAGGGTGCGTGCTTCGTTCTGCTTGATGCCCGCACGGCTGGCGTCAGGCCGGTGTAGTCAGCTATGATAAGAACGTGTTGCAGTGATATGCAAGTTTGGTGGTATAAACGACGATTCCAGGAAGAACCCGGACGGCGCCGAGATGGTGGACGGCTCACACCCAGTGGCGCCCGACTCTTTGAGTGCTGCTGCGACCTGCGGCATTGGCGTGTGTGGGCCAGCATGAGCAAGCGTTAACGCTGTATCGCGCTGGTCTTAGGTAGACAAGGCGGAGCATGTGTCGTCTCGTCTGTGTTGTGTACGCCGTGGCTGGCCCAATGTCAAGGTCAACGTGTTGGCAGTGCCACTGTCAACTTGCATGAAAGCAGGGCCTTATTCAGGTGGCAGAGCCTGATTGAGGGGCCCTACAGGACCTCTTCCACTGAAAGGGCAACCAACAGCAGCGCCCTTGCTCAACGCACTGCACACGTCAGACGCGGTCCCCAGTGCTGTGTGAAGGTGCGCGCAGCGCCAGACCGGGCCGAGGGGGTGGCATCCTTGGTTCAGGACGCCCGATGAGGGGGCTTACGAGGGTGCTCGTTAATTCGCAGGTTAGCTGCGGCTCATGGGTTGATCGATCCAGCAGCAAACACCTGGGCGTGTCTGCTGTTGGCAGGAGAGAGCCCACTGCCGGTCATTGGGGCAGCTGCCTGGGTCATCGAGGGTCAACAGACAGTGAATCAGCATGTGACGACATGGCAGCACCTGGAGCGTTAGGGAACACATCATGGATGGTTAACGTGTACGGTAGCGGCTGGCATCCAATCCCGTCCTCGCATTGCATGACTGCACTGTGTGCACGCTGCTTGATCGCCGCTTGCCAGTTCACTCCAACTACCCGGCTTGTCAAGCTGACCCGGCAGCAAGGTGCCGCATAGTGCTTCGAATGTAACAGTGGAGACCTATTTTGTCTACATCCGCTTCTTTAGGTGGAGGAAGCGCCCGCGCTAGAACAACATGATTGACTAGGAGTGGCGCCATCGTGAGGGCCCCTTCTGGGCCCGAAAGTAGGGCAGGACGCAGCCTTATGGCACCCAGTGGCCATCATCCTGCGTTGGAGGTGCGGGCGAACACAGGCGGGCCCTCCAGCCGGCCTCCCGCCTTTGATCAATTTCCCAGCATGGGCCAGAGCGCTTCCCACGTAGAAAGTACCATGAAGTTGCGATCAAGGGTCGTATAGCCACGCAGTGTGGTGCTGGAGCTGGGGCAGCGTGCCCTTGTGTGCGCAGCGGCAGCAAGGAGACAACCGTGGCCGCATGTGGGCCGAACCGCCACGCCGCTGGTGTACGCAGGCCATGGGGTCGCTGGTGCAGATGATTGGGATGGAGGGCAAGCTGGGACAGGTGGTCGGCTCCGCGCAGCTGCCTACGGTGAGGCGGGGCCCTCAGTGGGTTGACGGTGCCCTGAATGCCCAACCTTCGTGCGGTTGTACTGCCGCCTGCTCCGAGCTGCAGAGCTGCCCCGGCGCAAGCAACTGCACGTGTGCCCCCCTGTAACGTGCTCCCCGCCGCCGCCCCGCAGTCCTCGGAGCTGAAGCACGGCTGCGTGGACTCGCCGGGGGTGTACGGCAGGGGGTGGGCCCGGGCCTTTGCTGACGCTAAGGCGCAGGTGCGCAAGCGGCGGCGGGAGCAGCAGCGTTTGACTGTGGCCGGCGTAGCCGTAAAACACGACTAGGCGTCCCTGCTGGCGTCCGGCAGAGCCCTGCGCTCGCTCATCGGCGAAGCGTCCCTCTGCGGCGCCCGGCGCTGCCTGCAGGCGCGGCCAGCACCGCAGGCTTGTGCATGCGTCCAAAGCGTAGCGCCGCACTGCTCCTGGCCCGCAATCGCGACCTCCTCTGCCGCGCTGCCCGTGCGCCCCGCAGCTCGACAGGGACCTTGCGCCGTTTGCAGCTGACGTGCACTCGGAGGTGCAGCGCATCGAGGCGCGCCGCGACCAGCTGGGCGACGGCCCCGCGGGCGCGCCTGTCTCCGCGCCGCACCTCTCCAGCGACGGCGGCTTGATCGCGGCCAGCGGGGCCGCCGGCGGCAGCGGGCAGGGCGCGCTGGGGCTGGTGGCGCGGGAGGCAGACTGCGCCGCGATGTGAGTGGGCAGCCCGTCAGCCATGCCTTTGCGCCTGATTGTGTTGCATGCGGGCAGCTGAGGGGTAGCTGAGGCGCGGCTGGGCACGCCTCATCCCCGGTGCTGTCGACAATTTGGTGTGGCAGGACCCAAGTGGTCGGTGATTGCAGCCGCCAAACACAGTTGCACATGTGTGCACGCACACACGCACGCCACGCATGCCCGTGCGCTCACGCGCTCGTGCACTCGTGCACTCGTGCACTCGTTGCACACCCTTGCACGCGCCCGAAAACCGCTGTGCTCCCCCCCCTCCCCTCGGCTCCAGGCTTCTGTCTGTTGTGACGGCGTGCCTGAGCGCCGACGCGGCGGAGTTCCAGCGCAGCGTGGCCGGCATCGTCAACCGCCTCGACGAGCAGCGGCGCAGCTGCCCAGCAGGTACGGGGCCACCCGCGCTCCTCTCAGGCCGTTGGATGGCGTGACGCAGCGGCGTGCGTCCGCCCGCGTGGATGGCCCCTCAATGACCCGCACGCGCCGGGTGTTGAGGTGTGCGCGCACGCAGGGCTGAGATAAGCGTCGCCGCCGTCCCGCCGCGCAGGGCCGCTCAAGGCGCTGTTCAGCCGGGTGCTGTTCATGATGGCGCGCTGCAACCGCCTTCTGGTCACGGAGCCGCAGCCGGACGACGGCGGCGGCGGCCGCGGCGGCGGCGCGCGCGCTGATGCGCTCGCGGCGGCGAGGCGGGGGAGCAAGCCCGGCGCGCGCGTGCGGCGCAACAGCGCGCTCGCGTCTCCATGTGAGTCGGCGCGTGGGGGCGTCTGGGGCTGCGCACTGGGCGTGATGATGGGCACCAGGAGCTGCTGCGAATCGGTGCTGCGCGCTCCGTGCACAGTCCACCTCCCCCGCCCCACTGCGTCAACCCCCCACCTTCCATCCTGCCGCGCAGCGCCAAAGGTCAGCCGCGAGCGCGAGGTGGCAGATGCTGCTGCCGACGCCTCTCAAATCCTCGACCTGCGGAGCCACACCATGCCGCCGCACCTGGCCGCGGCGGTATCCTCCGCACTCCGCCGCGACTCCGCCCCGAACTGGGCCCCCGGGCCGCCCCCGCGGCGCTCGCCGCCGCAGGCCGGCGCGGCGCGCGGCGCGAGGGCGTGGGGGCACGAGCAGCGGGGGGCGGGGGCCGCGGCGGCCGCTGCAGAGGAGGGGTCGGCGGCGCCGAGTTTGGCCCTCCATCCCGGTCTGAAGGCGGCGTCGGTCTCCTGGCCTCCGCAGCAGCAGCAGCAGCAGCAGCAGCAGCAGCGTCCGCCACTCCGGCGGAGCCTGGACGCCCTCGTGGGGCCGACTTGGCGGCGGCGAGACTCGCCGCTTCGGGGGGCAGGCACCGCAGCGCCGCCGACGCCCGCCCGCCTGTCCTGCGGCGAGGAAAGGCAGCAGCGCGGCAGCGGCGCGGGGGACGCGGCGGGGATGCAGCGGGCGGCGGCGGAGGGGCCGCGGCGCCCTGAGCAGCAGCGGGGGCGGCGCGAGCGCGAGCTTGGTTCTGAGCAGCGGCAGGCAGCAGCAGGCGCGCCGCCTGCAGGCCCGTGGCCGCAGCCGGAGCCGGGACCGCGTGGGGCGACGCGGGGCAGGCAGCAGCCAGAGGAGCAGCCCGCGGGGCGGGCGCAGGAGGAGCGCTCAGAGCAGGCTCGGCCGCGCGGCCTGGCCAAGCTGCTGCGCGGCCGCGGGCGCAGCGGGGAGGCGAAGGGGCGGCTGGCGCCCGGGCAGCTGGGCAGCCGCGACGGGCTGGCCGCTGGTGTGGGTGAGCAGCAGCAGGGGCCCGAGCGGCCGCGTCCGCCCGCGACGGCGGGGCAGGCACAGCAAGAGCAGCTTGTGCGGCATCCAAGCATCCAGCTGCCCCGCCAGCCGCCCCAGGAGCAGCAGCAGCAGCAGCAGCAGCAGCAGCAGGGGCAGCAGGAAGCTGCTCCGAGAGGCAGCCCCGTCCCTGGCTCTCCCTCTTTTCTGCAGCGGGTGAAGCGAGCGTTCCAGGCCTGGGGGGGCCAGCCCTCCGTGCCGCGGCTGCCGCTCGCGCGCTCAGCGGACGCCGCCCGCAGCGACGCAGCGGCGCCTGCGGCAGGGGATCGCGTCAAGTTGATCGGTTGGCTGCGCCGCCACGGGGATGGCAAGCAGGCTCCTAAAAGCCTCCAAGCCACGCACTCGGCGCCGCCCCACGCGCCGCCCGCCGCGGGCGGCGCCGCTCAGCTGCAGGCGCGCCCCGAGCACCCGCACCCGAGGGACAGGCAGCAGCAGGCTGCATGGCCGCGGCACGCGCGCGGCGGGGCGCCGCAGGCGCCCTACGGGCCGCCAGAGGGGGAGCCTGATGCTCCCAGCAAGCAGGCGACCCCGCCACCGTCCCCAGGGGAGCGCGCGACTACCAGCCCAGCAGCGTCGCTTGAGGCGGAGGCTGCGGGGCCGCTGCTTTGCAGGGGCCCGCCGGCATGGCCGCATGGCCACCACCGCGGCGCCGGCGCCGCCCGTGGCGCGCGGCGCTTCTCGGCGCCGATTGTGCTGCAGTCGACGGGGTCCATGCTCATCAACAGCGGCTGCGTCAGCCCCTGCGGGGCGCCCTGGCGCGACGCACACGGCCCGCTCAGCCCTGGGGGCGCGGGGGCGGCGGCGGTGGCCGCGCGGCAGTGGGCTGCGGCGGCGCGGCTGGGGCTCGTGGCGGGGCAGGGCGGGGGGCTGTATTCGCCGGCGGCGGCCGCGGGGCTGGTGGGCGGTGCCGACATGCAGGGCATGCTCTCTGCGGCCCCCTGGTTTGCGCCGGCAGCAGCGGCGCCCCAGGACCACCTGCCGCGCGGCGCCCGCCATGGCGCCGGCCGGCCCGCATTGCTTCCGGCGTGGCTCGCGCGCTCGCCCCCGGAGCACTCTGCGCCGAGCGGCGCCGGCGCCGGCGCCGGCGCCGGCGGGCGCTGGGGCCTCTGGGGCGGCGCGGCGCGGCGGCGCGCGCGGCTGGTCGACCGCTTCCACCTCGCGCGGCGCTGCGCGTCGGACACAGCGCGGCGGGACTACACGCTGAGGGCGGCGGCGCGGCAGGCGGCCGCGGCGGCCGCAGCCGCAGTGGTCCACGCGGCCGCGGCGGAGCTATGGGCGAGCCGACCCCCGCAGCAGCCGCAGATTGCCGAGGGC